ACTCTGACCACCTGCGTTGAATCACAACCATATGATTCCAAGCGGCTACTCTCCTTGGTGTTGGGATTCAACCCCACACTGCCCAAGTCTCAAGTCCTCAAAGAGGACTTGGGCCCAGTCCTGGGCCCAGTCCTGTTCAACATCTTTATTAATGACTTGGATGAAGGGCTAGAAGGCAGGATCATCAAGTTTGCAGATGACACCAAATTGGGAGGGAGAGCCAAGACTCCAGAGGACAGGAGCAGGACTCAAAGGGATCTTGACAGATTAGAGAGATGATGGGCGAAACCTAACAAAATGAAGTTCAACAGGATCAAATGCAAGAGACTCCACTTAGGCAGGAAAAAGGAAATGCAAAGAGACAGAATGGGGGACGATGAGGCCTGGCTCAAGAGCAGGACGTGTGAAAAAGATCTTGGAGTCCTCGTGGACAACAAGTTAAACATGAGCCAGGAATGTGATGCGGCGGCAAAAAAAACCAATGGGATTTTGGCCTGCATCAAGAGGAGCATAGTGTCTAGATCTAGGGAAGTCATGCTCCCCATGCTCTATTCTGCTTTGGTTAGACCACACCTGGAATATTGTGTCCAATTCTGGGCACCACAATTCAAGAGAGATATTGACAAGCTGGAATGTGTCCAGAGGAGGGCGACTAAAATGATCAAGGGTCTGGAGAACAAGCCCTATGAGGAGCGGCTTAGGGAACTGGGCATGTTTAGCCTGAAGAAGAGAAGGCTGAGAGGAGATATGATAGCCATGTATAAATATATGAGAGGAAGCCACAGGGAGGAGGGAGCAAGCTTGTTTTCTGCTTCCCTGGAGACTAGGACGCGGAACAATGGCTTCAAACTACAAGAGAGGAGATTCCATCTGAACATGAGGAAGAACTTCCTGACTGTGAGAGCCGTTCAGCAGTGGAACTCTCTGCCCCAGAGTGTGGTGGAGGCTCCTTCTTTGGAGGCTTTTAAGCAGAGGCTGGATGGCCATCTGTCAGGGGTGATTTGAATGCAATATTCCTGCTTCTTGGCAGAATGGGGTTGGACTGGATGGCCCAGGAGGTCTCTTCCAACTCTAGGATTCTATGATTTGATTCTATGAACAGTTAGCCCTAAACCAGTGTTTCTCAACCTGCGGGTCAGGAGCCCTGGAGGGGTTGCGAGGGGGTCAGAGGGGTCACCAAAGACCACCAGAAAACACAGTATTTTCTGTTGGTCATGGGGTTTCTGTGCGGTAAGTTTGGCCCAATTCAATCATTGGTAGGGTTCAGAATGCTCTTTGATTGTAGGCAAACTATACATCCCAGCAACTACAACTCCCAAATGACAAGGTCTATTTCCCCCAAACTCCATCTGTGTTCATATTTGGGTGTATTGAGTGCTTGTGCCAAGTTTGGTCCAGTTCCATCATTGTTCGAGTCCACAGTGCTCTCTGGATGTAGGTGAACTACAACTCCCAAAACTCAAGGTCAATTCCCACCAAACTGTGTGCCAAGTTTGATTCAATTCCATCGTTGGTGGAGTTCAGAATGCACTTTGATTTTAGGTGAACTATAAATCCAGCAACTACAACTCCCACAGGACAAAATCAATACCCTCTCCCAATCCCACCAGTATTCAAATTTGGGTGTATTGGGTATTTGTGCCAAATTTGGTCCAGTGTATGAAAATACATCCTGCATATCAGATATTTACATGACGATTCACAACAGTAGCAAAATGACAGATACTTTTCTACAGCAAGCCTTTACTTTAGTTGGTTGTGTAGAATTGATACTTTTCTACGGCAAGCCTTTACTTTAGTTGGTTGTGTGGAACGGATACTTTTCTACAGCAAGCCTTTACTTTAGTTGGTTGTGTAGAACGGATACTTTTCTACGGCAAGCCTTTACTTTAGTTGGCTGTGTAGAACAGATACTTTTCTACAGCGAGCCTTTACTTTAGTTGGCTGTGTAGAACAGATACTTTTCTACTGCAAGCCTTTACTTTAGCTGGTTGTGTAGAACGGATACTTTTCTACTGCAAGCCTTTACTTTAGTTGGCTGTGTAGAACGGATACTTTTCTACTGCAAGCCTTTACTTTAGCTGGTTGTGTAGAACGGATACTTTTCTACTGCAAGCCTTTACTTTAGTTAGTTGTGTAGAACGGATACTTTTCTACTGCAAGCCTTTACTTTAGTTGGCTGTGTAGAACGGATACCTTTCTACTGCAAGCCTTTACTTTAGTTGGTTGTGTAGAATGGATACTTTTCTACTGCAATCCTTTACTTTAGCTGGTTGTGTAGAACGGATACTTTTCTACTGCAAGCCTTTAGTTAGTTGTGTAGAACGGATACTTTTCTACTGCAAGCCTTTACTTTAGTTGGTTGTGTAGAATGGATACATTTCTACTGCAAGCCTTTACTTTACCTTCTGACATCTGAGACGGTGCTGTGTGCTTTGAGATCTCTCTCTCTACGTGTGTGTCAGATATGCAGTGATTGCCGTTTTCCCCCTCTCTTTCAAACCTTAGAAGAGACGGGCGTTAGAGTAACTCAGGCCCAATTATTTACTATGAAGGAGTGTCATTATTACTAAAGATTGGACTCTGCATCTTTGCCTGCCTAAGCTCTAAATTGTTTACAGTCACATCCAACGTCAGCTCACTCTGCATGCTGTAAGCTAATGATCAACTTTTAGTATCCTTGTATTGTCGAAGGCTGTTTACGTATCCTGTTTACGTTTTGGATGCTCTGCTATATTTTAGGGTATTGTATTTTCTGGCGTACTACATGACGTTTTAGGCCTGGAAATATTATGAAAAGTTGGAGGTCATCTAGTATGCCGGGTATAAAATTGAAAAAAAATAATAATTAAAAGAAAAAAATCCAACTACTTTAGGAGGGAGGGAGGAGGGTGGAGGGAGGGCACGGGGAGGATACTTGGATACTTTTCTACTGCAAGCCTTTGCTTTAGTTAGTTGTGTAGAACGGATACTTTTCTACTGCAAACCTTTACTTTAGTTGGCTGTGTAGAACGGATACTTTTCTACTGCAAGCCTTTACTTTAGCTGGTTGTGTAGAACGGATACTTTTCTACTGCAAGCCTTTACTATAGTTAGTTGTGTAGAATGGATACTTTTCTACTGAAAGCCTTTACTTTAGTTAGTTGTGTAGAATGGATACTTTTCTACTGCAAGCCTTTACTTTAGCTGGTTGTGTAGAATGGATATTTTCTACTGCAAGCCTTTACTTTAGTTGGCTGTGTAGAATGGATACTTTTCTACTGCAAGCCTTTACTTTAGCTGGTTGTGTAGAATGGATACTTTTCTACTGCAAGCCTTTACTTTAGCTGGTTGTGTAGAACGGATACTTTTCTACTGCAAGCCTTTACTTTAGCTGGTTGCGTAGAACGGATACTTTTCTACTGCAAGCCTTTACTTTAGTTGGCTGTGTAGAACGGATACTTTTCTACTGCAAGCCTTTACTTTAGTTGGCTGTGTAGAACGGATACTTTTCTACTGCAAGCCTTTACTTTAGTTGGCTGCGTAGAATGGATACTTTTCTACTGCAAGCCTTTACTTTAGTTGGCTGCGTAGAATGGATACTTTTCTACTGCAAGCCTTTACTTTAGTTGGCTGTGTAGAACAGATACTTTTCTACTGCAAGCCTTTACTTTAGTTGGCTGTGTAGAACGGATACTTTTCTACTGCAAGCCTTTACTTTAGTTGGCTGTGTAGAACGGATACTTTTCTACTGCAAGCCTTTACTTTAGCTGGTTGTGTAGAACGGATACTTTTCTACTGCAAGCCTTTACTTTAGTTAGTTGTGTAGAACGGATACTTTTCTACTGCAAGCCTTTACTTTAGTTGGTTGTGTAGAATGGATACTTTTCTACAGCAAGCCTTTACTTTAGTTGGCTGTGTAGAACGGATACTTTTCTACTGCAAGCCTTTACTTTAGTTGGCTGTGTAGAATGCTTTACTTTCATGGCCCTCCTCTGCTCCTGGCGCTCACCTCCTTTGAAGTCCCCTGGGCTCGTATAGGCCCAAGGAAGCGTCTTCGGATGACTCCCAGCAGCCCCAGGTGGTAGCGTGCCTGGGATGTGCTCGCTGACGCATTCTGGGAGCTGTAGTTTCCTGACTCCTACGGCTCTCAGAATGCCTTAGCTTGCACCTCCCAGGCACGCCGCCGCCACCTGGGGCTGGGAGTTGTTGTCCGAAGGCGCTTCCTTGTGCCTAAGGTGAGCCCAGTGGCCTTTGGAGGAGGCGAGGGAGGAGGAGGGCCTTGAAAGTAGAGTGGGTAGAGTGGCAGGGGCTACGGGGACATAAAATATAGCAGAGCATCCAAAACGTAAACAGGATACTAAAAATTGATCATTAGGTCACAGCATGCACAGAATGCAGAGTGAGCTGACGTAGGATGTGACTGTAAACAATTGACATGGTCTCCATGTCATTCCCGCCTGCTGCTCCTCCTCCTCCCTGTGCCCTCCCTCCACCCTCCTCCCTCCCTCCTAAGGCAGTTGTAATTTATTTTTTTCTTTTAATTATTATTATTTTGATTTTATACCCGGCGTACTAGATGACCTCCGACTTTTCATAATATTTCCAGGCCTAAAAAGTCATGTAGTACGCCGGAAAATACAATACCCTAAAATATAGCAGAGCATCCAAAACGTAAACAGGATACTAAAAGTTGATCATTAGGTCACAGCATGCAGAGTGAGCTGACGTTGGATGTGGCTGTAAACAATTTAGAGCTTAGGCAGGCAAAGATGCAGAGTCCAATCTCCATGGAATGCGGAGTCGTCTTAAACAATGAGTATATCCCTAACTCTGTATTTTGTGTTGAAAAGTTGGGGGGTCGTCTTATACTCCCAGTCGCCTTGTATGCCGGAAAATATGGTACTTTTCCCTAACGCTTGGCACATGAACACAGTTTATGACTGGGCCGAGGGCCTGCCTCCAACTTAGCATCGGGGTGTCTCCTGCCTTGGGGAGACCACCACCTGCATCTCACTCACCTTGTACCTGGCGGCCAGGTGCTCGGTGGCCTGTCGCTCCTTGCGCAGCTCGCCCAGCATGCTCTCCTTCTCCTCCAGGAGCCGGGCCTTCTCCTCGCTGACCAGGCTGCGGTCGTCCTGGATGGCGGCCTTCTCCTGCTCCAGGCGCTCCTTCTGGTCCTTGAGGTAGCCCTCCACCTTCTTCTCCAGGAGCCGCCCTTCCTCTTCTTGCCGCTGCTGCCGAGTAGTAGACCTGTCCCCGTGCCGGTTGTTGTTGTTGTCATCGTTGTCGTCCTCGGTGTCGTCTTCCTCCTCCTCCTCGCCTTCCACGTGGGAGCCCTTCTTCTTGTGCCGGTGCTTGAGCCCGCCTCCTCCCAGCATGCCCCTCTTCTGGAGCTGGGCCTTGAGGCGGGCCACCTCGGCCCGGAACTCGCGCAGGAGGGCATCCTTGGGGTCCTCGTTGACGCGGGGCCGGTTGCGCACGCGCTTGGCCCTCCCGGCAAAGCGCAGGGTGGAGAGGCTCTCCTCCAGGCAGAGCGAGGCCGGGCTGAGCGTGGCCAGCAGCGCCGTGCGTGCGGAGCCCCCCAACGAGTCCTGCAGCAGGCGCGTCAGCTTCGAGTCCCGGTAGGGCACGTGCGTGCGGCACCGCCCCTCCGCCAGCGCCCAGATGACGTGTCCCAGCGCGGACAGCGACAGGTTGATGCGCGCGGCTTCCCTTCCGCCGCCGACGTTGTTGCCGCCGCCGCCGCCGCGACCCTGCCTCTCCCCGCCGGCCAGGTCCACGAGGTGCAGCTTGCCTACCCGCACGGGCTCGGCCTCCCCATCCTGGCTGCACTCCACCGTCAGGAGCAGCACGGCGTGCGAGCGGGAGCTGCGGGGGTTGAGCGCGGTGACCCCGCGGGCCCGGCAGCGCTGCCCCAGGCGCAGGACATGCCGCAGCTCGGCGGCGTCTTTCGTCACGAAGGCGGAGAGGTCCTTGAGGTACACGCCGCGCTCGGGGCTCTCCTTCAGCTCCAGCCGCTGCGGGGAAGCCGTGGAAGCCGAGGGGGAGAGCAGGTCGCGCACCTCCTCCAGGTAGACCTCCAGGAAGGAGGCGCGCACCAGGAAGCGCTGCTCGGGGGCCGCCCCGGCGATGCGGGCGAAGAGGAGCTCGGCGGCGAGCGGGAGCAAGCCACGGCACGGCGTAGCGGCGTCGGCAGAGACACTCTCCTTGCCGTGGTGGTGGTCCTCCTCCGCGTCATCATCATCACCCTCCGCCACGATCTCCGCCTCTCCCGCTTCCTCGCCGCCGTCGCCGCCGGGTCCGAAGAGCGTGAAGGTCTTGCCGGAGCCGCTCTGGCCGTAGCAGAGCAACGTCCCGTTGACCCCGCAGAGTGCCGCCTCCACCACGGGCGCTGCCACCGACTGGAAGAGCGCCCCCTCCTCGCCTGCGCCGCCCCCAAAGACACCGTCCAGGGAGAAGCTCTTCAGGGAAGCGGAAGTGGAAGAGGAATTGGTCCCCTCGGCGGGGGGCGCCCTGAGCAGCACCTGCCCCTGCTCCCGGTCCAGGAAGACGGCCCTCTCCGCCCCCAGGGCGGCCTCGCGCCGGGACAGGCCCCTCACGCGCGCCACCACCCGCAGCGCCTCCCCGCCTCCACCGGCGCCACCCCCGGGAGAAGGCATCTCCCTCCCTGGCTCGGCTTCTGCTTCTCCTTCTTCTCCTTCTTCTCCTCACGACCCGCTCCCACGGCGGCGGCGACGACGCCGAGAACGCATCCCGGGCCTACTCGAAGGCGGCTCCTCCCTCCTCTTTTCCTCCCTTCCTTCCTTCCTTGCTCGCCTCTCCGCCGATCCTTCTCCTCACGCAGCTCGGTGATGAATGAGCCGCAAAGCGTCGCGGGCGGGAGGGACGCAAGGGGGGAGGAGCCACGTCGTGGGCGGGGCCTAGGGGGAACACGCCCCTCTCCCCCTCCCGCCGCCTCTCATTGGGCTTCTCCGGCGCAGGGGAGGAGGAGGAGCCCAAAAACGGGGCGGGGCCACACAGAGTCACGCCCCCTTTCTTCTCCTCAGCTCTGAGTGGAGTGAGAGGGCGGAGCCATGGCGTGGGCGTGGCCTAGGGGAAACACGCCCCTCCCTCCTTCTCTCCCTCCCGCCGCTTCTCATTGGGCTTGCCAGGCGCAGGGGAGGAGGAGCCCTATAAAGGGGCGGGGCCTACGGAAAACACGCCCCTCCGACCCTCCCGCCGCCTCTCATTGGGCTTCCCAGGCGCAGGGGCGGAGCCCAACGACGGGGCGGGGAGACACAGTATCACGCCCCCTTTCTTCTCCTCAGCTCTGAGTGGAGTGAGAGGGGAGCCACGCTGTGGGCGTGGCCTAGGGGAAACCACGCCCCTCCTCCTTCTCCTCCTGCCGCCTCTCATTGGGCTTCCCAGGCGCAGGGGAGGAGGAGGAGCCCTTTATAAGGGGGCGGGGCGACACATAGTCACGCCCCCTTTCTTCTCACCGCTCTGAGTGGAGTGAAAGGGAGGAGCCACGTCATGGGCGGGACTTAGGGAAAACACTCCCCTCACTCCCTCCAGCAGTCTCTCATTGGGCTTCCCAGTTGCAGGGGGGAGGAGCCACACAGAACCACGCCCCCTTCCTGCTCTCCGAGTGGAGTGAGGGGGAGGACCCACGACGTGGGCGGGGTCTGGCGAGAACACGCCCCTCGCTTCCAACACGCCTCTTATTGGTTATCCCAGGCGCAGGGGAGGAGCAGCCCTACCACGGGGGCGGGGCCACACAGAGTCACGCCCCCTTTCTTCTCAACTCTCTGAGTGGAGTGAGAGGGGAGCCACGCCGTGGGCGGGGCCTAGGGAAAGCAAGCACGCCCCTCTCTCCCTCCCTCCCGCCGTCTCTCTTTGGGCTTCCCAGGCGCAGGGGAGGAGGAGGAGCCCTAAGACGGGGGCGGGGCCAGACAGAGTCACGCCCCCTTTCTTCTCCTGCAGTCTGAGTGGAGTGAAAGGAAAGGGAGGAGCCACGTCATGGGCGGGGCCTAGCGAGAACACCCCCCTCCCTCCCAACACGCCCCTTATTGGGCATCCCAGGCGCAGGGGAGGAGGAGCCCTTATAACGGGGCGGGGCCACACAGAGTCCCGCCCCCTTTCTTCTCACCTCTGAGGGGAGTGAGAGGGAGGAGCCACGGGAAGGGCGCCAGCACGCTCCTCCCACCTCTCCTCTCATTGGGCTTCCCAAGTGCAGGGGAGGAGCTATATCACGGGGTGGAGCGACATAAAGTCACGCCCCTTTTCTTCTCCTCAGGTCTGAGTGGAGTGAGGGGGAGGAGCCACGCCGTGGGCGGGGCCTAGGGAAAGCACGCCCCTCCCTCCCAACACGCCTCTTATTGGTTATCCCAGTCTCAGGGGAGGAGACCTTGTAAGGGGCGGGGCCACACAGTCACGCCCCATTTATTCCTCGCAGCTCTGAGTGGAGTGAGAGGGAGGAGCCACGTGGTGGGCGGGGCCTACGGAAAACACGCCCCTTTTCCCTCCCGCCGCCTCTCATTGTGTTTTCCAGGCGCAGGGTGAGGAGCCCAAACACGGGGGCGGGGCCACACAGAGCCCCGCCCACCGCCACTCCTCATTGGGGTTCCCAGGAGGAGGGGAGGAGTCTCGGCACGGGGCGGGGCCACACAGAGACACGCCCCCTTTCTTCTCAGTTCTCTCTGAATTGGTGAAAGGAGCTTTCCCTTTAGCCACGCCCCTTTCCAGGCTCCCAAAGGGGGCGCTCGCTTCACAGGCCAAGAGCCACCAGGAGGGCGGGGCTAAAGGAGACCACGCCCCTCCCACCACCCCTCCTCACTGGTCTTCCCAGGCGCAGGGGAGGAGCCCCAACGTGGGGGCGGGGCCACACAGAGCCTTGAGCCATGCCCACTCTATGATGTTGGGTTGAAAGTGGGTGTGTTATTTATGTATTTAACCTCAGCAGACTGAAAGCCAAAACCAAGGTCACAACAACATCTGTTATAGAACTCCAGTATGCTGATGACAATGTCATCTGTGCGCATTCAGAAGATCTACAAGCCACTCTAAACACCATCGCAGAAGCATACAAGAAGCTCAGCCTGTCATTGAACATTGAAAACCAAAGTGCGCCAAAGCCAAGGTTACAACAACATCTGTTATAGAACTCCACTATGCTGATGACAATGTCGTCTGTGTGCATTCAGAAGAAGACCTACAAGCTACCCTAAACACCTTCGCAGAAGCATACACGAAGCTTGGTCTGTCACTGAACATCGAGAAATCCAAAGTGCTCTTCCAGCAGTCACCAGCCAATCCCTCTCCAATGCCAGAGATACAGCTTCATGGTGTAACATTAGAAAATGTGGACCATTTCTGCTCCCTTGGCAGCCACCTCTCCACCAAAGTCAACATCGACACCGAAATACAACAGCGCCTGAGCTCTGCGAGTGCAGCATTCTTCCAATGAAGGAGAGAGTGTTTGAGGATTGGGACATCCGTGGAGACCAAGGTGCTTGTTTATAAAGCCATTGTCTTCCAACCCTTTGCAGCCACCTCTCCACCAAAGTCAACAACATGGAATACAACACCACCTGAGCTCTGCGAGTGGCAGCATTTTTCCGAATGAAGCAGAGAGTGTTTGAGGACCGGGACATCCGTAGGGATACCAAGGTGGTTGTTTATAAAGCTATTGTCCTCCCAACCCTGTGTAATAGTTGGTGCTAAGCTTACTAATACAACACCGCCTGAGCTCTGCGAGTGCAGCATTTTTCCGAATGAAGCAGAGAGTGTTTGAGGACCGGGACATCCGTAGGGAGACCAAGGGGCTTGTTTATAAAGCTATTGTGCTCCCAACCCTGTGGTGGCAGCCACCTCTCCACCAAAGTCAACATCGACACTGAAATACAACACCGCCTGAGCTCTGCGAGTGCAGCATTTTTCCGAATGACAGAGAGTGTTTGAGGACCGGGACATCCGTAGGGAGACCAAGGGGCTTGTTTATAAAGCTATTGTCCTCCCAACCCTGCTCTATGCCTGCGAAACATGGACTGTCTACAGACATCAACACTAAGACTGAAATACAACACAATCTGAGTTCTGCAAGTGCAGCATTTTTCCAAATGAAGCAGAGAGTGTTTGAGGACCAGGACGTCTGTAGGGAAACCAAGGAGCTTGTTTATAAAGCCATTGTCCTCCCAACCCTGCTATTTGCCTGTGAGACGTGGACTGTCTACAGATGTCACATTCAACTCCTACAGCGATTCCATCAGCGTTGCCTCTGGAAAATCCTGCAAATCTCTTGGGAAGACAAGCGGACAAGTGTCAGCGTGCTGGAAGAAGCAAAGACCACCAGCATTGAAGCGATGGTCCTCCGCCACCAACTCCGCTGGACCGGCCACGTTGTCCGGATACCCGACCACCGTCTCCCAAAGCAGTTGCTCTACTCCGAACTCAAGAATGGTAAACGGAATGTTGGAGGGTAGGAAAAGCGATTGAAAGACGGGATCAAAGCCAACCTCAAAAACTCTGGCATAGACACTGAGAACTGGGGAGCCCTGGCCCTTGACCGCTCCAGCTGAAGGTCAGCTGTGACCAACAGTGCTGCAGAATGTGAAGAGGCACGAATGGAGGGCGAAAGAGAGAAACGTGCCAAGAGGAAGGTGCATCAAGCCAACCCTGACCGGGACCGCCTCCCACCTGGAAACCGATGCCCTCACTGCGGAAGGGAGAAGATGCAGGTCAAGAAGAGGTCTCCACAGCCACCTACGGACCCACCCCCAGGACACCACACTTGGAGGACCATCGTCCTCGGACTACGAGGGATTGCCTAAGGAAGACCCCATCTGTTATAGAACTCCAGTGTGCTGGGGATGTTTCTGTGCCACTGCCATCGCAATGTGGGCAGAAGCATCATGGCTGGCTTCCAGGGAGGGAGGGAGGGAGGGCTGTCCAGCCAGACTGGCACCAATGGACACACACACACACACACACACCCTTTGGTGTGCCAAGGACAGTTAAGTCAGGCTTGGCTCAGCCTCTGCACCAAGCTGACCATGGCATTGGAACAAATGGGATGTTACAAGGCCCAAAGCCCCCTCCCCCCGCCTTTCCCTGTGTGTTCCCACATTTTGGGGGAGGGGGAAGTTGTTGTTTTTTATCACCTACGTGTTTTTAGTATGTTCTAACTTCTGTGGAGAGAGAGAAAAGGACCACAAACAGGCCATGCGTGTGGTTCCATACACATGAAGACACATAGGTTGGAATAATTGAAATCTGAGGTGTGTTGTTGAAGGCTTTCATGGCTGGAATCACTGGGTTGCTTTGAGTTTTCCGGGCTGTCTGGCCACGTTCCAGAAGCATTCTCTCCTGGCATTTCACCCACATCTATGGCAGGCATCCTCATGTGATCGGAGGTGACCACCCCCCTTCCAGGGCTCTGTAAAAGATAGTTCAAAATCAGGGAATTCATAGTTTTGAAATCAAACTAGACTTTAGGGGGGTCAACTCCAAGGAGAGATGACCCTTAGTTCCCACCAAAAAGAGAACGCTACCTTGGCAAGCCTTCAGAGAAGCCTGATTCCAGCGATTTTGGTGGATATTGATAATTGAAATGAGACCCTTGCCAAAGCGAAGAAGAGGCATTGAGGTGTTTATTAGCGATTCAGCTGAGATCAGATGCAAGTGGGAATAGTTCCACCACAAGCATGCTGCTAGGGTGGTTGCAAGCATATTTATAGAGAAAATACAAAGGAAAACAGTTCAAATCCCCCGCCCGCCCTCTGCCTCTGGAGGGCCAATCAGCAGGCTTTCCTTGCTTCTGAGGATGAACGAATCAGAAGCAGGCAAGGCGGGACAACCGCAGGCAATGGGGGAAATGATGGGATTACAGATTG